GATCCAGCATGCACAACTAGTCTGCAAGCCCAATCCAGACAGGCCTGAGATCCAGCATACAGGGCTGGTCTGGCACAGGTTCTGCATGCAGAGCATGCCTTGGGCTGGCCCCAAGCATCTTATGTAGCGCATGTCCCAGACTGACCCTGCGTGCCATGGCTTCAACCCATGCTATGTACAGACCATGCCAGACCAGCCCTACACACCACACACAGCACATGGGGCCGGCAAGCATAAGTCTTCATGTAGGACGAAAGGTTGATCCGAGACCCACAGGTGGAGGACTGGATGACAGGGCCCTATGGGCTGGTAGCTTTGATACCCCTGACTTAGTGCAGAAAGTCCCAAGCATTTTTGGCTGTTAAACAAAAAAATGCCCCAATAGGCTGTAGGATCCAACATCTCAAAGAGGATTGTGAGATTTGGATCACAATAAAAAAAAAAAAAAAAAAAACCAATGCAAAGTTAATTAAGCACCCCTCTGTAGTTCAAACTATCTCAGCTGAACAGAGAATTGCATAGAATCATGGCAAAGTAGGGCTGGAGGAGACCTCAGCAGGTCATCTATTCCAACCCTCTTATTCAAGGTAAGGCCATTCCTATCCAAATCATCCTAGGCAAGTATTGGTCTCCAACCATCCAATTTTCAAATTCCTTCCCTATCATACTGGGCAAGATATTGGCTTCCACTCATATTAGTTCTTGCCATGAGTTTCTCTGAAACTCTCTACTCTAGGTTAGCTCCATGACTTTCTTCAGATAAGAAAGTGCACACACGTAGCAAAGGAAGCAATACTATAGTCTGCCTCATTTACATTCTTGTAGAAGAAAGTCCCTATAAAGCTTTCTGCTGGGCTTTTACATGATATAGCACTTGGTTTAAACATTAAGCCATTTCTCATTATTGAATCAACATCAGCAGCTTTCAGCAATGCTCACCCCCTTCTTGCGGAGGCTTCCCAAGCTCACACCAGGGTACTAAGTATGCAATTTCATTGTGCTGTTTTTCCAAGAAGGGCAGAACAGGAGAGATGAATTTTTCTTGCCATTCTTTATCATTGGCTATGGCTTTCCGAACAGCTGCTCTGTGAGCAAAATTATCTGTAAGAAAGGGAAAGAAATTATGTCTTGATTCCATTCAGCCTCCATGTCATACCAAATGTAATTAAATAAAATGGTTACAAGGAGGAAAACTGCTTAGGAGTCAGATTTCAAATAGGGGTCATTTTTTTAAAATGACTTATTAAGTCAAAACCAGTTTGGTGGAGTTTAATCATATTTTGCAGATATCTCTTTGCCACTCAATGTTAGAACAGTGTCAGGTCAAACCAATTTTCCAAGCAAGATTCTTATCAGACTCAAAACAAGATTTACAATGGTTTCTAAGTTACCATGACTTCTAATAGCTTTAAGACCAGTAGCTAGTTTTATATACATGCATACATTTTCCCTAGCTATTGTTAGATATTTGGCTACTGAAACAAAAAAGAAAAAGGTAAAGAAAAAAAAAGTGATCAGTAATATAGCCTTTATGAAGTTTGCTGCTGTCTCTTCATTTTATTATTTCCTCTTTATTTACCTCTAAGTACATTTCACTTGGTTATATGAAATGTAATCAAATATTAAAAATTAAATCTTTCCTGTTTTTTACAAAGTAAAAGCATAAAATGACCCAATTAAACCTTCCACTCAATCTGAAGGGCTCTAACATGATCCTACATTCTCCTTTCAATTTAATAACTTGCATAAAAATGTTTATGCAAAGATTTTTCAAGAATTTAAGGAAAGAAACCCACATAAATGAAGAATAAGAAATAATATCTTGGTATGATAATAGCAGAAAATACAATGAATACATTTTAACTAATAAAAGGAAATAAAACGAAA